AGCTTTGTGATTTCTTTTTTAATTGCTGCCTTCTTGTCAGGTGAGAATCGTCGTAGCCGTTGCTTTACAGGCTTGGAGCCTTCATTGATATCAATTCTGTGCTCAGCCAACTCTCTTGGGACACCTGGCATGTCGGTCGGCTTCCAAGCGAAGATATCTTTGTTGTCCCGAAGAAAGTTGGTGAGCGCGAGTTCCTATTTTGCCGAGAGGTGGGCGCTGATGGTTGCTGTTTTGGAGGGATCGCCAGTGCCCAGGTCAATTTGCTTGACGTCGGCTTCTTTTGGTTGTGCGAGGATGCTGGGCTTTTTAGCCGGTATCTCTAGTTCTTCTTGGCTTATTTCTGCGGCAATAGTGGCTATTTCTTTTCTACCATTGTCGGCTTGTGCTTTGGCTGCAATTTGGATTGCCTAAACGTCGCAATCAAAAGCGCGCTTCAAATCACTTCAAAGAGAAAGGACACCGTTAGGTCCTGGCATCTTAAGCAGTAGGTACGGATAATGCGGTATTGCCATGAATTTTGCTAGTGCTGAGCGCCCGAGGATTGCGTGGTATGATGAATCGAAGTCCGCAACCTCAAACTTGATGAACTCTGTACGGTAGTTCGAGGGAGTTCCAAAAGTAACTGGTAGAGTAATTTGTCCAAGTGGCATGGCTGCCTTGCCGGGTACTATGCCATAAAAAGGTGTACTTGTTGGTGTAATCATCCCGGCGAGTTGTAGTCCCATCTTCCTTAGCGTTTCTGAAAAGATGATGTTGAGTCCGGCTCCCCCGTCGATTAGTACTTTGGTGACAGTCATACTGGCATTAGTTGGATCTAGAACCAGTGGGTAATGGCCCGCGTTTCCTATGCTAGTCCATTGGTCTTCTCTTGAAAATTGGATTGGATACTGTGACCAATTGAGATATCTTGGAGTAGCCGGTTCTGCTGCCATGATAGTTCGTAGTGCTAATTTTTCTTGATGTTTGCTTCTAGAATCTGGGGCCCCGGCAAAGATCACTGCTACCGTCCCCCTGGATTTTTGGAATCCCTTTTTTCGTGGTTGTCCTCATCTTTTTTCTGACTGTCTTCTTTGATGTTCTCCTTACTATCTTTTCTTGTGTATCGATCTTTGAAGGTGTAGCAATTTCTGATGGTGTGCTTTCCATTAGGGTGTAAGATGCAATGCATATTTTCAATGTCGTCATATCTTCTGGGTTTGTAAAACTTCTTTGATTTGTCAGCCATCGCCATGGTGTTGTCTGGTCCTCGTTTTCTTTCCTAATGTCTGCTATTTCGATGATTTTGCTTGTCCAGGTTGTCTCGGTTGCTTCTATCCGGGAACCTTTGTCGTGTCTTCTCTTCTGCAGTAATAATCTTTTTTACTGTTCATCATAATTCTTCATTGTTTCTTGGATTTTCTTTGTAGAAGTCTTGAAATTACCACCTAGCCATGATTCCGTGAGAGAAAGCTTCAATTACTTCTCGTTCGGTGATGTCATGTACTTGAGCTCGTAGTTCGCCGAATCGTCGATAGTAATCTCTGAGACTTTCACCTCCCTTCTGCTTGAGTCCTTTTAACTCTGCGTGGGTGATTGGGTGTGTAATGATACCTGCAAATTTTTCACAGAAAGCTCTTTGCAAGTCCTCCCAATTTCTGATTGATCCTGGATTCAATTTGTCGAACCATTGGAGAGGCATAGTTTCTAGGGCCATGGGAAAGAACAGGGTCTTGATATCGTCGTCTCCTCCAGCTAATTCAATCGATTGCGAATATATCCTGAGCCACTGCCTTGGTTCAGTCTTGCCATCATATTTAGAGTGGTTGGACGGTTTGAACTTGTGGGGTAGTCGTATTGACGCAAGTCTGTTTGCAAAACAGGGGAATCTATCGTTCGTTCCGGCTTCTTTGAATTCCGATTCAGCACCTCCTTCTGGCTAACTGTTGTTTTGATGAGAGTAATCATGCGAGGCTGTCTGGGCAGGCGACCTGCTTCTGGTCTTTCTTGGTTGTTCAACTCAGTGGCTCTGACTATGGTCCCTTCTACTTTCTCTGTTATGACTTCTACTTGGTCCAAGTCTCTCGAAAGTGGACTTTATTTGATTTTGATCTTCTTGCCTATGGGTCGTTGATCTGGCGGGTAGTCTTGAGTGGGTCCTTTCTTTGTGCGTCCTCAGGGCTGTTGATCGGAGAAAATCCCAGAGCTGTTCTTGTTTTTCACTGGGATGTGAGGTCGCTCTGAGTTCTTCTAATGCTTCTCGGATCTTATCGTAGGGTGTATTTGCCGTGCATCTTTCTTCGACTTCTCATTGTGATTTTCTTCTATCGTACTCGGCCAATTCTGACTCATATCTGACCCAAGCTTCCTTGCGCTGCCTAGCACGGTGTTTGCGTCCTTGCTTCAACTTGTTTTTTCTTTCTCTGGCTTGTTTCTGATTCTCAGTCTCACCATCGTAGCCCTGGGCAAAGGGTGATATGTTGGATTCTGATTCATTCGATGACCTAACATCGGGCGCTTCTAGGGGGACCAATGGTGATCGAGGACAGCGAACCATGAGTACTTCCTGTGCGTGAATTGTTCTGTTATTGGCGTTAGTTTCCACACTGTCGGAGTTGCTGATAACTTTAGTAGAGGCCTTGAGGTCGCAGATCGAGTCTCCTTCTTGGTAGGGTAGAATTGTCGTTGTCATCGTATCGACCAGTCGGGTACTGCTATCCTCAGGAACAGAGCCCGGCCAGTGGACGATGCAGTCTTGAGATGTTATAGTTAGTACGAGACCTTCCTGATCTCCCTTTAGTGGCATTCTAAGCACCGGATCGAGGAATCCTTCGGGTCGTGTCTGATAAGATGTTGCCATGTTGTGAAGTCCAAACGGAAAAGGATCCGGCTTCTTGAAAAAATTCTGCGTGTACTCCTAGTTGTATTCTTGATAGGTTAGGACCGCGTTCTTAAGACCCATCGGAAAAGAACTCGGTTTCCCGAAAGAACTCGGATAAGACTCTATCTCGGATGTGGAGCCTGAGTTCGAGTCGGATACGCAAAGCCGCGAAACCTGAGTGGAATCGGACATCACGAGCTGCGCGAATCTTCCGGTGATTTGATCTGTCGTAGTCGCCGAAATAGAATAGTCTTCATGGTGATTCGAATCTTCGAGGAGACGGCTTTGGAGCTTGCCATTGTCGTCCGCCTCGCAGATCCATGAGCCAAAGATGAAAGTTGATCCCGTCGAGAAGATCATGCTGTAGAGGTCCATCGAGCTCTCGGATGCAAATTCGCCGAAAGCCCCTACCTGGCGCGCCAGCTGTCGATATTTTACCACCGATAGCCTGCCATGGGGTTACCCGGGCAGTATGTTCGGGCTTCAGTGTATGCGGAACTCGACGGCGAACGTAAGAGACAGTCGATTTATCCTGGTTCAGGCCCTCGACTGTAGTCGAGTAATAGCCCTACGTTCAGTCGGCGTTAGCCTTTGCGTTGGATTGATTGTGTGTTGTTGTGTTGTATCGTCGTGCCCCTCTAGGAACCCTGCCCTCATTTATATAGTCAGGAGATCAGAGTCCTAGTCGGTTTACAATGAGAGTTTCTAGTAGGATTACAGGATAATACTACTACTAAGATTACATGGGGAGAATCCTAATTAGACTAGATCTTCTCTCTTCCTTGCGGGGTATCCCGTGGGTCCCGCACCGACACTAACACAACTCTTTAGAACAAAAGAGTTAGAGTCGAGGACGACTCCTTTTCAAGAGGGGGAGGATGATGAGGACATGCCACCGGTTACTCAAGTTTCACATATGTATGAAGGTCTAATAATGCATAGTCGTGCAAAATTACTCCAAAAAGAGGTGAACTCACTCTTAGCTGAAATTAACTTTGACGTATTTGAGAATGTTATACTACCTAAGCATTCTATTTTGGTTGTACTTAGGTACACAAATAAAGATGAGGATGTTACTCTACATCGGACTAGCACTGAGAAAAACGGACCAACAGTTCGGACCAGCACAGTGAAAAACGGACCATCGGATCGGACCAGTACAGTGAAAAACAGACCAGCTGAAAGAAACATTCATAACTTTGGACTCCATGAAGGTTTGGAGGTCCATGAATACATTTTGGAAAGCTAATCAAGTCTAGTTTTCAATGGCACAAGTTCCAAGTATTTTGGACTTCTCAATGTTGATATATGAGCAGATTCGTGAAGACTGCTCTGAAGGTCAACAGTCTTCCCGAGACAGAGTGGTGGTTCAACTTCCCGTACAAAACTGTACGAATCTACAAAGTTTCGTGGTGTATGCTGCACATGGATGGAAAGCTCTTCTTGTCTACTTTCACACCCAAAAAACGGTTCGTCATTTGGACTTTCCAATAAAGAGTTATGGCCAGATTAGTGGAGAATGCTCAGGAGGCCAACAGTCATGCGAGACCACTTCGGGAATCCATCTCGTGGTGACCTTTCATAAAGCCTATCTTTTGAAACTCCATTTTGTTTTCACACCCAATTAAGAGGGTTGTTCCTTGTATAAATATCCCCTGCCTCTAAGCTATTAGAAACATTTTGATGATTTGATAAACTACATGATATTGCAGCCGAACTGCCTGAGTGTCTTACTTAAACCTTTGTTCTTCCTTATTCTTCTTGGACTTGTGAAGTGATCTCTCTGGGGTCCTCTAATTCGTGATCTACGGTTTCCAGTACGGCTGCACCGCTTTGTGTGGATTAGTTCCGAATTGTGGTTCTGCGGTCGTTCGGAGATCAAGTCTAAGTTTTCGCGGTTTCGGTGCCACTCTCTTAGTCGTTTGGTCGCATCCAACCTTAGACATGTATAAAACTAGTTTCTCCGCTGTTCACAGCAAATTATCTTCCATTGTTCGACCTACACTATTGAAGATGGGACCAACCCTTGCCGATTCATATCGGTACTTATCACACCGCTGCATCGCCAACCGGTGCTGGCGCCTCGGCGACGACCAGCGGTGGAGCAGGGGCTGTTCATCATCCCATCCAGCAAAGCCTCCACCGCTCAAGCGTACGACCAGGAGCTTGCATCTGGCGGGCAACGCCTTTGCTGTCGCAGACGACGATGTCGGCGGTGGCCTTGTTGGTCATGGCGTCGGCCAGATCCACGGCAGCGGCATCCTTCTTCGCGTCCTCCACGTCCGCGGCAGCAGCGGTCTCTCCTTGCCGGTGGACACGAGATCCACCACGTCGGCGACGGAGACGGCCTTGCGGCCTCGACGTCTCCGCGGCACCCGCAGCCGCGATGTTCGAAGGGGGCAAGGGAGCCGTGGCCAGGAGCGGTCGTCGGTGCAGTCCACTGTGGTGGGGTCCTCCTGCCGTTCTGTGGGGCCCTGCACCGGTACTGTGCGCCACGCGGACGCGTGCATCGCATGCAGGCTCAGATCCCACCGGGTGACACCTGCCTTCAACGACGGATGCCGTGTCGCATATACAGAGCAAGCCTTCGTTTTCATCAAACTGGTTTTTCAGTTCCGCTACAGACATGGAAGTGGCAAAGGGTGTTCGGTTGACCTCCAACAACAGTTGATGCAGGTCCTCACATTTGACATGGATGGTTATGAAACCATTGTCTTGAGTCCGATGAAGCTTACATTTTATCTGCGGCCGACTGTGCTATCGAAGTGCGAGAACGAGGACCCTCGATGTTTCTATCGTTCCACTTCTCGGGGGACCTATAGCCCCGACAGGCCCCGCATCCTCGACAGAAGCATCACCTATGTCTACAAAAGCAGTTCAACCGTAGTTTTTTCTTAACTGAGCTCTGTAATCTGGGAATTCTTCTCACACTGGTGTAATGTTATATATTAAAAGTTGTTGTTGTAAAAAAAGACACGCTAACAAAATAAGATATCGGCAAACTCAATTAAAAAAAAAGAAATAACATTGACATGCAGCAACGATGTTACGATCAGCAACCAGCTCCAACCTTACAGGGTTTAAGCAATTATGTTATTGACCGTGTGATGCCATATGTCTAAACAGAAGTGCTTAATGACCCAATAATGTGATGTCTGAATTATTTAAGCAATATTGTTTCGAAAGTTATTCTGATATGGCTTAGTCGTACTAGTTACTAAATGTCAGCACACAAATCAGTTGAAGGGATATATAACTTTGTGTATCTTCCTTTGCACAGCAAGTGAAAGGACAGCAACAAACACCCGTTGCACAAGGGTTGTTAAGTATTTATGCCAGTACGTACTTCCTTTTCTCCAACTAAAAATATATACCAACTATTTCATGATTATGTATCACTACTCTGGCTTCTTACTGTCACTGTAATAGGAGCAAAATTTTCTATACCCTGAACGACAACGGCCTATGCATACAAGTATGATATCCTAGAAGTTTGTCGCATACATACACTGCTTCCATCGGAGATTGAAACATTGTGGATTAATCGATAAATATAACACTGACAAAATTTGTGAGGCACCCCGATGATGATAATACTGACAATATCTTCGTTATCCGGATCTCCTTCCAATTTGAACACGGAGGTGGCATGCAAAATTGTGGATTTGCTCCAGAACAGCAATTGTCATAGCATTTGGGTTATAACAAATGCAGTTGCCAGATCACCATCTCTCTACCCATGTCATGTGCTCACAACCAAATTCTCCATCAGTTCTGAATTATTTTTTAAATTCATCAGATGGTGAAGCAGATGCTTCCAGCAAGGAAGAAAGTGATGGGCGCAGCAGAAGATACAGTGAGGGCCCCACAAAAGGTATCAATGCAAGCGGTAGAAGCCATGAACCATTTTTCCTGTTAAGCAAATGCTAATTAATCTCATGTGATGGAAGTTTCCATTGCCATTTTTAACTCAGACATTGCAAAGTCTATCATGCAACTTCTCTACACAACATTAAGCATTAGTGCTTACCATCGCCTTGCTGTCATGTCGTTATAGACCCAAAATGGTGAGAAGGCTGATAGCAAAGTAAAATCAAGGCAGGTGGCATGGATCTGATACGTGGCATAAAAGAAATAGAAAATTAATTTGACACCCACACTGTATTGATTAGATCAATAGTAATCAAATGCATGGCAATGACATGTAATCAAATTATGGCATGATCAATATATACATCACTTATAATCTTTGAACCTTATAAGATAGAGGAAACTAGATCAGTGACTATTTTAACATTTTAAACTTTGAACATGTTTGTCTTTGTGATCACACTGAATACCAAAATTGTTTAGGAGTTGTCAAAACAACAACACAAATGAAAGAACATGTAAGATGTGAATACTAAATGCATGATCTGCAACCATTTACTCTAGATATAACAAAGCATTTGTTATTTTTCTTTTACTCAAGATTCACTGAATCATGTTGCAGAACTTACAAACTTGCTCGACCTGAAGTATCGAATAAATTCCTTCCAATCGTCGCCACCAGCTTTGCCAGCATATATGATCAGTCCAATGCCCAAGGCAAACACTACCTGCGACATGGAGATTGGAGAAAGAAATATAGTCAATAATTACCAAATAGTGTTTGAAATGTAAAACATACAACTAAAACTTACTCCTGCAGTTAACTTTGACTCAAGAAATTTTAATGGCCATTGTTCAATTTCATCTTCCTCAATGGGAGGTGGAGGAGGCTTCCATAAGACAAAGTAAGGAATCAAAGCATACGCTCCTCCGATGCATGAAAGAACCAGGAATAGCCACACAGGAATCTTGCTTTTGGAACTGCAATACAATTTTACTGTTACGAAAATAATATAGAAAACAGTAATCATAGAAAATAACTACTGCTACAATCACATATTTTGTTATTATATGTGTATACCAAACTAGTGAGGGAGAAAAATGCTAGTGCAAAATCACAAATCGATTAGTTTATCAATATTTTGGACATAGGTATGTTCAGTTTCTATGTTTCCAAATGATCATCCATTTGCAGTCAATTCCAAAATCATGGCAATCTCAATTCTCCTTGTAAATGTACTCTACTAATCTTATGCTTGTGAAAGAACCATGAATGTAAAACGTAGCACATACTATGTAACGCAAAGGCCTCTATTAGCAAGTGGATGTAAATGTAATCTACTGAATGACTGAAATGTGACAGGCAATGAGGCCATTCATGTACCTGTGTTAGTATGAACAAAACACTCAGTGTAGTTTTTCTTAAAGACAATAGGACACAAAGGTGGTGTGTATCTTTAAATGCGACATGGATAAAACAATGATTCATTGGTTTAACAAGGGGAGTAGGGACTCCCTGTGATCTAAAAAATAACGCCCTGTGCAATATACCATATTTCTAAAACAAGTGTGCACTATGAGCAGAATGAATACAATATATTCTGAATAAAAGGCAATTAGGAGCATTATAGTAAAAGGGTGTAGCATAAATTTATCTTTCGGAGCTGAGCTGAATACATGAGCCAAAACACAAAAAAGGGCTATAATATAAATGAAAAATTATGTGGTGCTTTTGTACAACTTTAGCAGTCAAATAAAGGGAACATTTCATTGATTACAAATTCGCAGAATCATTTACCTTCTTTCAGTGGGAAAAGGCAACACACTGTATACTAGTTCAACAACATGCTGGACAAAAACTTTGTTCGTGGTTGGCTTATTTACACAAAATAAAGAACAAGTCACATATCACTCTGTCTGCATACAAAGATAATATTTAAATCATCTTACTGTACAAAGTGTTATTACTACAACATGCAAAAGAAACTAGATAATCGTTCCATGGTTAATATCACCTATCCCAACTTGCTTGGGAAGGCATTGTTGTTGTTGCTGATCAGTTTTTGTCAGATACTGACACAAGGACTATCTTTGTGTTTAGGAAGTATCCAAAGGATTAAGACAAGCTTCAAGATCAGCCAAATAAAACAAGAAAACTGCAAGTATGCCACAGCCATCATCACTAGCTTCCTACAGAACATTCATAAAGCATGAGCTGAGTAGGCCGTAAGGTTCACAATTTCGGCGAAATTTCTCCTTTTTCGCTGGGGTCCGGAAATTTTTTGTATCAGCCAAAAATTTTCGGTTGAATTCATCTTCCACCCTAAATTACACCAAAGCACACTAAAATGGCCCTCCATATCCTCCAGTGTCACCAAAACCCTAAATGTCTTCAAATTCATTGAATTTTCTCACTCCCACGCCCAATTTCACTAGCATAGGCAGCTCACCCACCATCAGTCCGCCATATTAGCGCTGCTCTACTTCTGTGATATGTTTGTGTTATTTAGTCAATGTTATATAAATTTGTGATGCATAATAGGTTGGAGAGTATTTCTAGTTAAATGATGCCGACTCTTAAAAAAACAGTTTGGAATTGTTTGAATTGATCCTAAATTCCTGAAATTTCATGTTTATGGCTAGGGGCCGCATTTTTTTTCATACCGGTTTTGTAAACCCTCAGCTGACTACATAATGCAAACAACCACACTAAAAAGGTGGTACAATGTACTGGATTAAAAACAAACTGATTCTCACCTTCTACCAGTAGGAAGGAGTAACATACTGTAGACTAGTGGCCAGAGGCCCATAATGTACCATAGAGAAACAAGAACATCATTCATTCGAAAGCCATCGTCACCCTTCAGATTTAAAAGTTTCTGCAAGAGGTATGTGTCTTGGTACTGCAGCCAGAGTGGAGGCACAAATTACAAATTAGCAAGGGAATTCGAAATCACATTCACAGCAGCATAACACAAAGCAAGCAGGCGGGCAATTGTCCCGTACCGGTGTCTGGTTAGGCGCGAGCAGGAAGACGTAGTACATGAGTCCCGCCCAGATCCCGAAGATGAGCACCGACGTGCTCCAGTCGCTGAACCTCCCGCCGCTGCCTCCGGCAATCCGAGCAGCAGCCTCTGACACCGCCTCGCTCTTCTTCATATCCTCTTGCTCCTGAGCAGGAGAATCGGCGCCTGGAGGGCCCTGGAGGGATGAGTCTCTGCAGAGTTGGGCCCAGCCACGGCGCCGCACTCCCGGCCGGCACGCAGCGGCGTTGACGAACAGAGGGACACTGGCTCTGGCGCCACTAGTGATGGAGGCTGCGGCGGTTCTCGCGACGAGGGCCATCAGCGGTGGCCTTATGAGAGGAGCGAGGGGAGCACGGGCGCTGGCGAGCATGAGGTAGGTAGAGGAGGAGGCCATGGCTGTGCGCGGCGGTGGCGCTGTCGAGTGTTGTGGACCGTGAGGGATAAGCCGGCGGTGGTGCTGTGGGGAGGGGACAAAATTTCCAATTGACAATAGCCAGCAAGAGAGAACGTCACGACTGAAAAAAAAACAGAGATAAAACGGTTTTTTCTGGAACTTAACACCGTTACAGCTCTAAAATAACTGAAGTATCAAATAGGATAGAAAAAAAATGAAAGGAGTGATAAATAGGAAAGATTTTAATTTGCATGTCAAATAGGAAAGTAGAAAATGCGGATCGCACGTCCTATGTAAAAGTTGTTTCATTAAGTTCCTCTTACTAAAGTTCAGGTCCTGTCACATCGGATATCTAGACACATACATAAAATATTAAATATAGACTTAAAAATAACTAATTTCATAGATTACAACTAATTTACGGGACGAATTTTTTAAATCTAATTAGTTCATGATTTGACAAACATGTTCTAGCAACGGATTAATTAAACTTAATAAATTCTTACTTAGAACTTTTATAATTTATTTTATTATTTCCGAACGTTCCAATATAACACTTCGATGTCGTGACATCCTAAACTTTTAGCACTGGCCACCGAAACCACGGCTCGATTAGAGGGGGAAACAGAATATTGCTTTTTCAGATTCACGCTGCGGCTAGAGAGGGGGTCAACAAATCAGATAGCTCGCGTGGCACAAGGGCATGCGGGCTTGCCTTATGACATGTTTGCTGCTGCTCATTATGTTTTTTTTGTTAAACACTTTTTTTAAAATAAATAGCTTCGTAGCTAAAGCTATTTTTCTTATCCTTTTACAAGCGGATAAGTTAAGCTAAAAATAGTAGCTTATCTTAGTTTTATCTTTTATATGTGGACCCCACAGCACCTAAAATACTGCATGTGCCCCTCGGACCCTCTCTCTCTATCTAAACCAGCGCGTGGGGAGTAGAGTAGCAGACCTTGGAATTCCCAGATCTCGTGGCCAGGGCGCATCTCGCCGGGGCGCGGCCCGTCGGGAACACGCCCACCAGGTGCAGCCCGCCGAGGCAGGCTCGCGGTCGCCGGGGGAGGTACGGGCGGCGCCACCGGGCACCGGCACAGCCGCGGGGAGCGGGGCCGGGGCGCCATCGCCGGAGGCGCGGGGCTGGACCGCCGCCACGTGTGAGCAGGTCGCCGGGGCGCGGGAAGCTGCGGTCGGAGCTACTGGGCGCGTCCGCGAGGCACGCCGCAGTCGCCGCCAAGATGCGCCACCGGAGCTCGCTCTGGGCGCGGTCGCTCGAGCTTAGGGCGGAGGGAAGCGGACCACGCGCGGAGCTCGTGGCGCGGCCTTCGCGGATGTGGGCGCTGCTCGAGGCGCCATGGCCATTGGGCACGGGCGCGAAGCGTGGCCGGTCAGGGCGCGCATTGCAGACGCCGCCGAAAGCACAAGTTGCCACGCTGCCGTGGCTCGCGAGCTGCGGACGCTGCTGGGCGCCGGTCATGAGCGGCATGGCCTTGCTGCCAGTGCTACCTGTGCCAGCAAGCAGCGTGTGTGCGACTTCAGCTGCGTCGGCGAAGGGGACACCGCCGCCGGGCACGGATCGACTCCATCGCCGCCGTTGGATGGGCTCGGTCGGGTCACTCAAGCGCGCCTTGTGCCGACGGAACGCGGCCGCCCGGGGGCTCGGGCGTTGGCCGTCGGGCTTCCCTTTTCTTTTTCCCGTGGCCGGCCGTAGGAAGAAGATGGCAAATAGAGAAATAAATGACAAAGGCTAAGGGTGTTATGGTCATTTATTCTTCTTCCCCTCCACTGAAGCTGTTTTTGCCAAACAGGAGTCACAAAACAGCTTAGCTTCACCACTAGAGCTACTTATTAAGCTGAAAACAAAAAAAAATAACTTCACCGGTGAAGCTGAGCTGTGCCAAACAGAACCTACTTAACCAATGTCAAGTTAGATAACTTCATCTCATTGCCTCCATTATAAAAGTGTTAATGAAACATTTCTTCCAATTAAGCCAAAGAATCAATGGAACAAGATGGCAAAAAAGTAAGGGTTAATTGGATTGGTGCCATTACAATTCTCACGTTTCTTAGAAATACAATTACACTGGAGTCTAAAAAATGCCATTATGTACACTTGTCACGACATGTGGCCCACGTGTAGGTGTATACAGCTAGTACGTACATTCGTATGGACCCTTTTGCCCCCAGCTTCTCCATACATGCGCTGTTTGACTAGATCGAGTCAATCCATCCATTCCCCACCACCTCCTCTCTCTCTCACTCGAACCCTAGCTCGTCGGTCACGGAGGCGACTACGACCGGCGGCGGCGGTGATACTGCTCACGGCGACGGCGACCGCGACCGATGGTAGTCGATTGAAGATCATGGTGCAAGCTTGAGTACTATGGCGGTCGTGTCCTCCATGGAGGGCGAGGTGCATGGTAACCGTGCTGCGGCAATGGACGACAGCATACCGAGGTATGCATCTGAAACCATTTTCGATCTGACATGACTTTCCATCGACGAATAGGCTAGTTGTTACTGCAATTTGTTGTAGAACTCGTTGACTTGATCTGCTTACTTCCTGCTAGGACCGACCTCTTCTTGCTAGAAATTAAAGTTGAAGGTTTCAATACAACATATGTGTTGGGTAGGAAAGTTTACACCAAAGGTTATGTGATTAAGTGGGATGTCGAGATAGGGTCGTTTTCTTTAGACTTGTTGAGGGAAAGCTTGCGGAATGAAGTTAAATGGGCCTCTAACCAGTCTGCATCTCTGTGGTTCTTTGACAAAAATGTGCAAGAAGATGTTAGATTAGACAGTGACATTTAGATGATAGATTTGTTTGACATGTATAAGTCTAAAATGTGTTGCCATGTGTTGGTAGGAGTCTTTGATAATGTTGTTTCTGATGCACTTGAGTATGAGTTGTTAGAGCCTTTATGTGTTATTCCACCTGATGATGGAGCAGTCAATCCTACTAATTTCAATCCTGATGCAAATGCTTGTGCTGCTGCCATTCCAAATGCAAGTGCTTCTACTATTGTCATTCCAAATACAAATGCTTCTACTGCTGTCATTCCAAATACAAATGCTTTAACTATTGCTAGTCCAAATGCAAATGCTTCTTCTGCTACCATTCCAAATGCCCAACCTTCTACTGATGCCAATCCTTGTACTGCTGATGAGTCAAACGTAGAGCCTGATAGGGAGCCAGACATATTTGACAATGAAGAGGAGTATGTTGGGGTTGATGATGAGCACATCTAAATTTCAGTACCACCTACACACCCAGCCAACACTGACAGTTCCCAAGCATCTGTTGATAATGCTGATCCTGTTGTTGCTGATGGAGGTGCTCCTCTTGAGGCAGAAATTGATGATGTTGATCCCCAGGAAATAACTGTCCTCCACGATCCTAAAAATCCAAAGATTGTCAAGGAACAATTGTTTCCTAACATAGTAACATTCAGGAAAGCTATTAGACATTACGCTGTCAAGAAAGGTTTTGAGTTAGCTAAGTTGCAAACTGACAAGACAAGATTCATTGCACATTGTGCTACCGAAGGGTGCCCATGGAGAATTCATGCATCTAGGATTTTTTATAAGAAAATAATATAGGTTGGTGTGGTCCTTTTCTTACTGTTTGTAACTTATTCAGTTATACATATGATATTCATCTTAATTTCTTATGTAGATTAAAACATTGCCTGCTGAACATAATTGTCCCACTACAAAGCTGAGGGACGGAAAGATGGCTAGTCAAGGTTGGTGTGTAGATAGGTTGGCGAACTGGGTCAAGAAGAACCCAAATAAAGGAGCCAAGGATGTAAAGGAAAAGATAGAAGGAGACTATGGCATTAAACTGAAATACTCCAAGGCATGGTCGGGTTTGACGGTTGCCCTACAACAGGTTCATGGGAAGTACTCAGAAAGTTTTCAGCTATTGTTCAATTGGAAAGCACAGATAGAAATAAGTTCTCCTGGAAGCATTGTAGAGATAGAGTTAGAAGGAAAGAAGAAGAAGTGCTTCAAGAGGATTTTTGTAGCCCTGAAGCCATATATTGATGGCTTCTTAGCTGGTTGTAGGCCATTTATAGGTGTAGATGCGTCTGCATTGCGTGGCAGATATACAGGGCAGTTGGCATCAACAACTGCTATGGATGGGCACAACTGGTTATACCATGTGGCATATGGTGTTTTTGATTCTGAAACAGAAGGCAATTGGAAGTGGTTCATGCAGCAGTTGCATAGAGCAGTGGGTTCACCTACAGGTTTAGTCATATGTATTGATGCTTGTAAAGGGCTTGAGAAGGCTGTGGGTGCAGTGTTCCCTGAAGTGGAGTACAGAGAGTGTATGAGGCACATGTACAGCAACTTTATGAAGCATTATCAATGAGATGTGTTTACTGACCACCTTGTACCCTGCTGCAAGGAGTTACACAGAAGGGTTGTTTAGGTGGCACATGCAGAAGATAGCAGATTTTGCCCCAGATGCCATTGACTTCCTTCAGCAACATCACAAGTTGATATGGTATAGGTGTGGATTTTCAGAGCTAAGTAAATGTGACTATTTGACCAATAATATTTCCGAAAGTTTCAATGCTCAGATAAAGAAGTTGAAAGGACTTTTGCTGCATGAACTGGTAGATGGGATTATGGAACTCATAATGGAAAAGAGGTACTTAAGAAGGCAGATTGGTAAGGATATGCAGAATGGTATACTGCCCAATGTCATCAAAGACCTGAACACTATAAGCAAAAACCTCAAAGTTGTGAAGGTTGCAAGAAGTGATGAAGGCATAGCTGAAGTAACACTTATAGATGACTAGAACAACCACAAGAGGCACATGGTTGACCTGCAAGGTCACTCCTGCTCATGTAGGGAGTGGCAAATCATAGGAAAACCATGCAAACATGCCCTGGCATGGATTCTTTCCAACAGAGAAATTAAAATAACAGATTTTATGCATGAGTACTACTCTGTTCAGAGATTCAGGGCTGTATATGCTTCTAGA